GGTTCCTCAATTGCCTCACTCTGAGGTTAAGCAAGTGCCAAAATTGGCACAGGGAAAGTAGAAGCAGACAGCCAGAAGCTAGATGGGGGCAGATGAGGTCTGGTGGGACAGCCGTTGCGTCATGAAAGCTCAGCTTAGCTTCAAGACAGCACAGTCTGGCTGTCTCGCTTGCCTAAACGCTGGGGAAGGGTGAGACTGCAGGAAAGTGAGGTAGTCTGGCTGCAGGATTGAGACAGGTATAAACTGACTGAGAAACCACGCCTGCAAATTGCAGTTTCACAGCAGCGTAAATCGAACTAAATTGGTGCTACAGTGGTCCTACTTGCTTGCTTCTCACAAATCCCATTTGCAGGAATTCTGCACTTCCTTTCTGTCCCGTGCACTGACATCTGTGTGACCTTGCAGAGGGAATTGTTCAGGGAATTGATCGGGCAAAAAAAGAGATCTCTGTCCACAGGCATAGCAGAAGGCAAGACCACAAGCAGCCTTTTGTTGATTTTGGTGTGATACGGCAAATTTGGGATCCCGTGCTTGATTGGTCCCTAGGCATTACAATAATAAAGATAGTTTAAAAAGATTATAGATGCCTTTAAAGCAGAAATGTATGTATTGTACTTTGAGCTTATTATAATTTTACAAAATATTATGAACTGCTCATTGTCTTTTCACAATGGATTTCCCTGTGAACACATGAAGAACTGTAATTTTGGATGGAGCCAAATAGCTCTTGTCCTGTGTGTGCACTGCCATTTACGAAGATAGATTATCAAAACTTGGTATGGAATTACGCATTGATTTTATTGCAAATAGGACTCGAGAAACTGCTGGAAATGGAAAAATAAATACCAGTAAAATAAAACTTCATTGTTCAATTTTTTTTCACTGCACTAGAGTCTGATTCACTGGTAGTGTAGGTTTAAAAAGTAAATTTCTTGCTGTGAAAGTCTTAAAAGTAATTGTTGGTCTAGGAAGATTGGCTAAAGAGAAAAGAACTGAGTAGATGATACTGAGCTCTTGGAGTAGCAAGAACTGTAAACAGTCCACCAAACTTTCTGAAAAAAGCCAGGTAATTTAAAATCCACCCTTCGTTATAGTCCAAGTTAATGTCAATCTCTTAAGACAGAAAATCCTAAACAAAAAGAGGGGGGAAAGCTCACGGCGCTAGCTTTTCTGAATTTCTCTTGATTCAAAGCACATATACTGATTAAGTAGTCTAACTGCTGTGAATAGCACTGAAGCTGAGGAGAAGGGTGAAGTATAGTTAAGATACACACTTGAAATGTCGAAACTATGTTGTCAACCCAAGGACGACATCACAAAGCTATGCCAAGGGCCAAAAGCCATGCTGGGATATGTGGCTTTTTTTTTCCCATTTCCTATAATAAGTAAGTGCTTTCTTAGAAAACACAGGAGAAAATAATTTCCTCGCTGTAAAATCAAAGGATTAGACTACTTTATTTCATCCTGTAAAACCACCTGCCACAACGAGTGCCTTTAGACTGTATGGGCACTGATGCAACACTGGAAAATTGGTAGCCTTTATCGCTGAGGTGTTCTGATAAGATCAAGGCAATTTCCTTTGACATCCTAGCACCAAACAGAATTATCTTTTGTGTGGGATCAATAAATGTTGGATCATTTCTTCCTCTGCAAACAAACAGCGTTTTGATTTGGCAAACCGAGCTTCTGTAAGCTCGTTTCTTTTTTTAGCAAGGCAGGAGTAGCACTGCAACGTCGAATCTAGAGTGGTTCCCCAGCTTGGACAAAGGACGCGGCTTTGTTGTTGAGATGTTCTCACAAAGCCCTAGTGGACTTTATACCTAGGGATGTGGGCTAGGCTCCAAGGAGGGGGTGTTTTCATTCAAGCCGAAGACCTTTTAAAGCCTCTTGTTCTCAGTTAAGGAGATTTCTGCCTTTGGAATGCAATCTTCTTTTTGATACGGAAGCATGTGAGCGTAAATCCACTACTCTCGTGTATTTGTACAATGCATAATATTTTCTAGAGCAATTAAACCCCGTAATTGAATGCAGAATCAAAATTTCCTTCCGTCTTCTCAATATGACTTGCTAGCAACCAGCACGATTACAGCAGGGCCTGAGGTAAACGACACTAATCCAGTGAGGCGCATTTCCAACCTGAACTGCACACCAAACCTGTTTCTACGCCCCCATCCCATCCAAGTGTGCTGCGCAATTATCGCATGTGATGTCCTGGTCTGAAAAAGGCGAGAATCGTACCGAGAACAGGCTGGGGAGGGAGAATGCCGTGCTCTTCGTTCCTTTGGCTGATAAGAAAGCGCGTGCTGTGTTTCAGGCTCTGTTTCTGCCCTCTTTCCTCTCCTCCACCAAACTTTCTGAAAAAAGCCAGGTAATTTAAAATCCACCCTTCGTTATAGTCCAAGTTAATGTCAATCTCTTAAGACAGAAAATCCTAAACAAAAAGAGGGGGGAAAGCTCACGGCGCTAGCTTTTCTGAATTTCTCTTGATTCAAAGCACATATACTGATTAAGTAGTCTAACTGCTGTGAATAGCATTGAAGCTGAGGAGAAGGGTGAAGTATAGTTAAGATACACACTTGAAATGTCGAAACTATGTTGTCAACCCAAGGACGACATCACAAAGCTATGCCAAGGGCCAAAAGCCATGCTGGGATATGTGGCTTTTTTTTTCCCATTTCCTATAATAAGTAAGTGCTTTCTTAGAAAACACAGGAGAAAAT